AAATGATTTAAATCTGTTCGACCTATTTCTCTACCAATGTAGATTAACTTTAATCTCGGTTTAACGGGCAAGCAATATTTATACTAATCGACATAACATGCTTTGTCTGATAAAAAAATTTAGAAGTATCGAAGAGATAAGAAAATGATTTAATGAATTTATCACAAGTAAAGACCAATCTTTTTATTGAGCCGGAATCTATACTATGCCTAAAAAGTGGAGAAAAGTAGTCAAAATAATAATGATTAAACTACATTAATATGTTTTGACAATGAATATTAAATTTCATAAAAAATAATAAATTATTTGTACGGCTAAACTTTATGATATGAAAATCTCGAATATGAGACCATATTATCAATATCAATATGAAGGAGCTGCATTAGTAAAATGTCATGTTATTTATACATTTAACTCTATCTAACTCGAAATATGTACAGTCAAATAAAATGTTAAATAATGAACAAAACATTCAAATATACATATAATATTCATGTAATAATATGTTCAAGTTTAAAGAAATCGAGAAGCAGATATAATTAAATGCTTAACGCGGTACTTTCCAAATATTTCGAAATGCTCGAAAATAGAAATATGTTGTAGCAAATGTCATTAACAAGGCTTGCGGTATTGACATATTAGAGCCATTGTGAATAACGCTATTATGCCTACAAGATCTATATTATTATCTTCTTATCTATATATATACATATTATTTATCGTATGTAAATGATTTATACATACATATATATAGTCTCTTATGTTCAAAATTAATACAGTTTACATGAATTATATCGGCCAAAAAGAACCTATCTAAATATGTTAAAAAATATTTTAACTATGTTGAAAACTTGCGTTTTCGTTAGTCACATATTATAGTTAATTAATTTTTATCAGTTTCGTAAATTATACATTTATTCTTATTAAATTACCTATTTCGAAGGAATAATTATTGTTGCGCGCAGCCGAAGAAACCAAATGAAGTGTGAAGGTAATGAACGCTAGTGGTTCAATAAAAAAGTTGATAGGCCAGAGACTCTGCAGCATCACATTACCCATCTGATCGAAATGCTTGTTCTTATTTCTATTTGCTAAGCAAGGAACGAAAACTTCTTCTAGTATTCTTTGGCAAAGAGCGCGAGTTTCTTCAACAGTACCCGCGCAGATATTGAATCTAAAACAAGTTGTCTTAATGTAAATGGATTTGAGTGCATATTTGATCAAGAATTTAAATATCATGTTCTTTGATAAATTATTTCACTAAAACATTTTAACAAAACTGAAATAAAATTAGGCTCAGAGAACAAATCAAACAAATAATAATAAACACTACTACAGCAGAAGATAAATGTGGGTACAAACTTGTCGTCTATTCCAAGCATACTACCAATAACCCTCCAGAGATGCACTACACCTTCCATTTCTTCACGAGTGGCACTTATTCCTACATATTTCTCGCACACCATAATGTATCCGATAAATCCAAATTGGGCGAGTGCCATGTCCAATTGCGTTGGCTTATGAACTCCAGCTTCAGTGCTTCTTTTAAACGCAACACAGTGTTTTCGACGTACGATTTTTAGAGATTCTAAAAATCTACAATTATTATATGTAGCAACTATACATGATATGTATACTGTGGAAATAAAAATTAAATTTTTTGTATTATGTTCTAACGCATAACAAGAATTTTTAAAGATAACTATATGTAATTAATGTATATATTATTTTATATATATTATTATATTTATTAATTAATATTGAGAATTATTTAACACAATTATTTATAATGTCTATCAATTCGCTTATTCAGATGCTGACAATGATCATGTACTATAAATATAAAATTGGATAAATTTGTTCATATCTTTTCTTATGCTAATAATATTCTAAATATTT